GCTCAGATGAATTTATTCAACAGTTGAGTAAAGTGCAGGGTGAATTTGAATGAGCTCCGAAAACCACTGGAAGAGTCGGGTAAATAGGCCACTTGCAGACAGCGGTGAGTTCAGTGTCCAGTTTTGCAAAACACCTCTCGGGAGAGTTACCTTCACTGACTCGGTGACCAGAACTGACACAGTTGCTCACACATAACAAAGGTGTCAGTTTCAGAGGAGCATACAGGGATCTCTGAGGAAGCAAAAGGCATGAATAAAAAAAAATAAAAAAACCTCAATTTGCATTCATTAGTGGTGTCTGTGACACTGGCTGAAGCGGAGCGAAGGGAAAATCTGCAACATGATCTTTGAATCTCCCATGGTTCAGAGAGTTTGTACATGTACCTGTCAGACAACATAACAACTCAGCAGGGAATCAAATAAACAAATCCAAGCCTCAGCCCCAAATCCCCTGATACAGACACACTCCTAAAATCATTCATTCATATTCAGTCATGAACTACCCTTCATAAATCCAGAGAAATGTGAATACAGGGTGGAACATCAGTTGTATTTGCATGTCATTTTCAGATTTTTTCATCAGTATTTCTCCCTGTTTATTTTTGTCATTGCTTTGAAGGCAGACTTGGACAGACTCCTGTGAACAAAGTGACACATGAAAATACTTAAAAAAGAAACAATTAGTACGGGAAACAAACCATTTAATCTCCCCTCCCTGGCACATTTTCCACCGTTTTATTGATTAATTAATTTATTCAGTGTTGAAAGTTCCATGCTGCATGAGCAAAAACCTGCCAGGAGACTATCCAATTGACTATTTGCCAAACCGCTCCCCCAAACAACAGTTGCCCAATCATAGCTTAGCAACCGTAACTATGCACTGCAGGTCTGTCAAGCTCTGGATTTCTCCACATGTGAAGTGAAGTGGTTTGCATGGAGCTGCAGGGATGCTGACGCCTGGGACATATAGCTTTATTATTCAAGCACAATAGCAGAACCAGGAACACCTTTGTTGGCCAAGTATGTGTACACATACAAGGAATATAACTCTTGTTTTTGGCATTGCTCTCACTTACGCATACATAGACATAACAGCTAGGAGCAAGGATAACAAAGGTGGACACATAAAGGCAGGGAATAGACAGGAATATTATCAACACAAGTATGTGAAAGAATAGGTGTTTATATAAGTATTATACACCGATCAGCCAAAACATTAAAACCACTGACAGGTGAAGTGAATATTATTAATCACCTTGTTTCAATGCAATAATCTGCTGGAGAACTTTTGGTCCTAGTATTCCTGTGGATGCAGCTTGATACAAACCACCCAGCCAAACACTGTTACAGACCAAGTACCCCCCCTCATGTCAACCGCACTCCCTCATGGTAGTGGCCCCCTCAGTAGGACAATGCACCATGCTAAACTGCAAAAACTGTTCAGGAATGTCCTGAGGAACGTGACAAAGAGCTCAAGGTGTCGACCTGGCCTCTAAACTCCAGACCCCATCCAACTGAGCATCTATGGGACTTGCTGGTACCTCATCTTGCAACCCACAGGACTCAAAGTATCCGTCGCCAACACCCTGGTGCCACCAGAGGTCCAGTGTCAATGCCTGGACAGGTCCGAGCCAAGTCTGACCCACGGTGGGACCTCTGACCTGTCGAGGCGTGGACACAGGACCTCCGGGGTACCGGCATGTCCCATGGGTGCTTGATTAGAATGGGATCTGATGAATTTGGAGGCCATATCGACACTTTGAGCTCTTTGTCACATTCCTCTAGTCAGTCCAGAACAGTTTTTGCTGAGTGACATGGTGCATTGTCCTGCTGGGGGGCCACTGTAGTCAGGGAGTGCTATTCACATGAAGGTGGGTACCTGGTCTTTAACAGTGTTTGGGTGGGAGGTACGTATCAAGTGGCATCGACATGAACGGCAGGACCAAAGGTTTCCTAGCAGAACTTTGCACTGAAACAAGATGATCAGTGTTACTCTGTTCACCTGTCAGTGATTTTAATGTCTTGGCCAGTGTATATAGTAATGATAATAATAATGTAGAATACACCATGTCATATATCATGAAAGTAGCCATCAAGTGCATATTTGGATTAAGAGGCTTCTTGTTTTAAGTCAGCTGGAAAACATCAAAAACTTTGCATTTCTTTCGCATAGTTTTTCTTTTTACTCTCAGTACATACTGCAGGTGCGTACTGTTGCACTGAGTATCAATACAACTGGGACATACTTTTTTGTTATAACATTGCGCTTTGAACTTTGACCCTATTGCTCATCTAGCCGTCGCACAAAATTCAAAGTATGAAGAGAAAGTATGCAATCTGGAACACACCAGATGTTAACGTCAACACTTAACATTACCTTGGAGATACAACAAAATGCCATTCGCAGAAGGTCTCCAGAGATGAAGGTCAACTTGGAGAGCTCTGTTATAACTGCATAAATTGTAGATGCTAACATGCAGCAATATATTCCTGACAGTTGAATAACATATGTATTTCTATCATTGTTGTAGTTATGTCCTTTCTTTGTTGGTTATCTTTATGATTATTATTTTCACTTTATTCCTTTTACTACTATATAATTGACTGCTTGTCACTCACTTAAATGCACCGTCATCTGTCATTGCGGCTTCTGTCAGTTGTCAGTGAGCTGTCATCTGTCTGCAGCTCAGCCCGTGTGACAAATCTTCCGCTGTGCAAAGGATTATGGATCAGAATAGCCAGAAAAGCATGCTGACTTGATGTTTTAAACCAACTAAGCTAATGTTAGGTCAGTAAGATAGGCACGTACAGCTGATGAACTCTGCTAACAGCAGTGTCTGTCTGAAATCATGACCCTTTGTTTCAAAAATAACTACAAATTTTGTGTGGTAAATCTGCCACTGTCATCAGCAACAGAAACTAAGAGGCAGACAAGACCATATGGAAAAGAGTGTGCAAATAAAACTGATTAGAATAATATATTGTAATACTATATAATAACATTCTGTAATATCATAGCAAACACAGAAACAAAGGGCTTCACACTGCATGGTGCTTCATTTTACATCAGGAAACATCTCACCCTGCTATATCTGCCTGCTGAAAACCATCTGGGTTTTTCTCCGTGGCCATTTTATGAGCAGAGCTGCCATGCGGGGCACAGTATGGCGCACAGATTCAATTATGAGGTGGGGGTGTTTGGCAGGAAGGTGTGTGTGCCAGGCTCTGTCTGTATGCTGCCTGAGGCTGATAGATGTGGAGACTTGTGGCCTGGCAAGTGGTTTGCAACCTGTCAGTAATGTGAGAAAGGCCCATTGTGCTGCTGGAAAAACCCCTATGCACTCAGCTGTGTTTACAGCCCACAGAGCCGGAGTGCAGACACGCCTCTGAGGATCCCTCAACAGCCCCCTGCTCCAAAAACACAGGGCAGAATCAGATGGAGACAAAGCAACATCATCCCATTTTCCCCACCATGTCCTCTGTGAGGCTGCCTCCCAATTAGCCACACCAGCGCTGCCGAGGCGAGATAACAATAGAAGCCCATGTATCCCCTAAAGACCTCACTAGAGGACCTTTATTACCGTATTGATATCTCCTACATGTCACCACTGCCCTCACTTGCCTGGCAGCATGCCCGCACATTTTATATGAGGGAAAATAACCAGAGGGGCTGTAACTCAATACAAGAAGAAAACAGCAGGACACAACATTAGGCTGAACGGTACATGCTGTAATTAGTGAGATGCTGTAAGGAATAAATATAAAATATGATACAGCGAGTTCAAGCTGCACAGTAAATTAAAAAACTGATTAATGGGCAAAAGTACAAAAATGGGAAACCCAGTGGAATGAAGTAGATATTCTGCTGACATACAGTAAAATACAAATAACACACAATCAGTGGCAGGTACAATTATTTCAGAAAAACAGCAGTTGCAAAAACGTATGCATATGTGTCCACTGATATTTATCCTTCAATATTTCCTACATGCAGAGGACATAATTTGACGGATGTATTTTAAAACAGAGAGCATCTCTGAGAGCATACAGTGCTTTAAGACAGGGAGAAGGAAATCTAAATATTGCATTTTCCACACAAAGAAAACAAAGTGTTCAAGTTAGCTCACATTCTGTAGCACCACAAATGAGTTATTTCATGGACAAAATTACATGTAACTGATGTCCAATCGTACAGAAACACACAAGTGCCTAGCTTACCTAAAGATGAAGCATATGTATTCATTCATGTGCAAGACTGTTCCCAGTAAAACGAGTTTAGATTGTCCACTGGGTCCTTGGCCAAAATTCAGTCAAGTGGTTGTCGTGAGCGATTAGTGATTTTTTTCGGCTTCAGGTTTGCTATTTTAAAAAGTGTAATTTGTCACTTCTAAAAGAAGAAATAACACCTTCTTGCTTTTACAAATTAAAAAATTCACGAGTAATGTACCCAACCTTTGGTCAATTCAGTTTACTCAGGGGTTTTGCTGATACAGCGTTACTGTAACGTATGGTGGATAATGTTAGCTAATGCTAGCAAACACTGGATCGATATTGCTGTGTAACTGACATTACTGAGTTACTAGCTTTTACTTGTGGCCACAAAAACTCAACAGCAATGTCTCTTTCCAGAAATCATGACCTGGTTACTCAAGCAGTTTCTTGTAGGAACTACTTTCTTTAAATCAAACTACACCTGCCAACCGTATCACCCTGCAGAGGGAAGCATGCGTCTACTGTTAGCTCATCTAGCACCACTGAGCTCAGCTGAGGAGAACACCAGTAGTGCTTATATCTTGTGCTGTCACAAGCACGAATTCCCCATCCAAGAGTATGTGTGCGCTTCCTTCTGTGCAGTGATACAGTTGGTGGATGTAGTTCAGTAAAAAGAAAATAGTTCCTACATGAAACTGCTCACAACCAGGTCTGTGGATTATCTTGAGTAACTGGGTCATGATTTCTGGAAAGAGACATTTTTGGTGCTTTGAGCACCACAAACCGAGTGCCATCTAGTCAAATCGTATTGGAAAGAAGGCAGATATCTTTACAGCCGATATCTCCAAAACTTTGCAGCTCACACCAGAACAATCTAGACTGATAAGTAGCAGGTAAATACATCTTTTTTGAATTGGGGGTGTACTGTCCCTTTAAGGCTGATAATTTGAAACTTCTGAGACTCAACATGTTTGCACATGGCAACAGATCAGAGCAACTGAAAAACCCTTAATAAACCAAATAATCTTACAACTGGTCACATTCTTACAATAAACCCTTATGAAACAAAATTCCACCTATTTCTTCAGCACTAGTAAGACATGACATGAAAACCTGTTTCCAAAAACATCTCAATTGAAAAAATAATCACTATGTCAGCTCTGTGGCCCAAGGCACTCTCTACCTGCTTAAACTCAGGCTGGCAAGATTTGAGGAACTTCATAAATTTGCATTAAAGTTTCTCATATTTTGCATTTATATCAAAATCCTTCATGTTCTTCCATTTGTAGTTGGATCAAATGTTACACAGACTTTCCAAGGCTTTGTACTGGAAACTTTCAGCAGTACCACAGAGGCTGGCTGTGAAGCCCTTTGAGTGAGGCTTTACAGTAAATGGATATGGGGTCAGTCCTACTGCAAAGCTGAGGTCAGGCTGTCAGAGAGCCAGTCTGTGTGTGAGTGGTCATAAAACATGACAAGCATCCATTTCAAATGCCCCAGCTGTCACTGAAGTACTGGTCCTCTTCTTCCTCCTCTTCCTCCTCTTCTTCTTCTTCCGTCTCATTTTTCATGAGGTCATCATCTCGTAACTCGTTCACTTCCTCTTCCTCCTCTTCTTCCTCTTTGAGCTGTGCAAGCATAGTTTGTAAAGTGGCTTTTACTTCCTGGACCTCCTTTTCCAGCGACTGTGCAGTGTGAGTTAAGAAAGAATCGGCTGCTACAGACACAAACTGAGAGTCACACATTAACATGTAAATAAAAACGCATGCCAGCAGACAAATATGCGGGAAAATGTGACACTTGTGGCCCTCATTGGTTAATGGTAATAACAGAGGACAGCCATAACCTGATGAAGTCATCAATCTCCAATTTGGCCACCAAACGGATTACTGGGACAGATCATCAAGTCATACCCAATTTAACCCCATCCAATTCACTATTCATGAGCACATCTCGTCTGTGGCGCTGGGCATCGGTGTGGGGACCCAAGCAAACAGACTGCCTAGCTAAATTATTCATAAACCATCAATGTAACGGGATAGAGGCTGGGATGGGGGGGGGGAAACTCAAATTAATTGTGCGAGTGTCCATCTTAAGTGGCAAATCAAAGGGATGGCTTTGATGGCAGTTGGGGCCTGATGGCTCGTTTTACTGTCTGAATGGACACAGATTGTCCTCATTCATAATTAACCAGCCGTTAAAGAGCTTTCCATGAGTACTGCAGACGGTTCACTTTTAAGGCAACATGGTCCGAACGGGACGACGGAGGTCAGAATCACAGAGATAGACGTAATTTTGCCTACCTACATCTGTTTTTTTCAATCCCATTCTCTGTGGTTGTCCATCTTCCTCCTTGTATGGAGAGCAGAGACTCAATTAAGACCCTTACAGACTGGAGGTTTGATCTTCCCGTCACTATGGCAACAGTAGCATCATCCCAAGCTCAGTCTCTGTTCAATTTCTGTAACCCAACAACAATATTGTCCTGTATCTTCAGTGTCCTCTAGTGTCCACGGCGCTTTTGCACGAATGCATCGACTTCAAAACGCCGAGATGACTGGCATGTAAGGACGCGGCGACAGAGAGGTGGAGAGAAGCGGGCCAATCTGTCTATCTCTGACTGCCAGGCTGCACTGATATCATGCAAACAGTGGAGGAGCCTGTGCTGACCCCCCTGACAGCCCAGCGGGAGACTTGAATCTCTAATCAGATGTGAAAAAAGTCCGGCCACACTTCAACAGAGAGTGAAGGACGTACTGCAAAACACGTCTTTTAGAGATCCTTTAACGAAATAAATGTCTTCATCAGATTAGGAAAGTATTTCTGGCAGCCCATGTTCAAAGAGGAGAAATGAGGTGTGACGTGAAATAAATACATTTAAAAAGAAGCAGGCTAGGTGGCAAATTTTCTTCATCCTGGTGTTGAAATATCGCCTTTTCTATCTGTCTTAATAAGCCCACAGTGTAGAGGGGAAAAGTGGAGCGAGAAAAACACACTAATCTATTTCCAATCAGCTTTCTAATTAGCGCGGAAAATGATGTATTGTGACCTGTAATCAGCTTCAACAGTTTCATTTGAGTCATTATCATGGATATTGTAATTTCCTCCGAGCCAGATCCAGCAAGTGGAAGTGAGCAGACGGAGGAGGAGGAGGAGGGGAGGAGGGGTGAGGAGAGGAAGGGAGGGTCAGCAGGAGTATGGACATTAAGATATGACAGGAGCAGAGTCATTACAGTCGCATTCCTCTATCTGTCGAGGCGCTGCCCCTGTCGGCCGACTTTAATCTCGGCCCGTGGTGACTGGCAGCCCACATCAAGCGCCCTCCAATAACCTCGCTTGGACTTTTACCATTTCATTTTATAGTTGGCACGTCCAGCGTGTCAAGAAAAATCCTCTGATCCCAGTTTATCTTCAATTCCCTCCCTGAATGGACCCATAATGTCAGATAAGACAGGTTGATTTTTCCTTGAAAGGTAAAGTCACATAACATCAGTCAGTCTAAAGGCAGTTTGGATGTGTACTTTTGAGAGTTGGAAGGCCTGGAGGAAACTGGGTCCTTTAGATGGATGGACGGAGACAGAAACTCACACACAGATACAGTCCGTTTATATGATGTATGTATATTTAGAGAGCAGTGAAAGGATATGGGTGAGGGCCTGATCGCGGTTCAGTATGGCCGTCTGCAATTCATCTTCCAAGGTCATTAGTCTGTCACTGATCTGCTCGCAGCGCTCGGTCAGGTCTGCAGCCTCGCTGCACCCGTCCTGGCAAAGAAAAGGAATGAAATTATGGGTGAGGAAAGGAAGACAGGATCAACAATTGATGCTGCAATGCCTCGAGTTAGTCTGTCTAACAATAACAACAAGAATAAATGAGGATTTTAATACTGGTATAACAACAATACTGAAATATTTGGAGTCATCTAGTAAAACAGATTGGGAGCATCTGCTGTTTTGAAGCAGTGCAACATTAGCATTGTTATTTTTTTACTGAGAATTAGCAGGTATCTAAAAGTTCACTTGAGTATATTTTACATCAACATGCAACTACTGATTTTCTCAAAATGGCCGTGTAACTATGTTTTTAGCAGGTGATACCACAAACACCTCCAATGTCACAACAGTAAGAAAGAGGAGTCATGTACAACATGACATACATGACATACAACAAATTAAGATGGAGGTGGACCCTTTGTGATGACACCATGGCTACACCTTAGTATAGCACTTACTGAAGAGGTAAATTTGCAATTAAGTATTGCACTTTCACAAAGCAGAGGCCATGATACCTTGACTTTTAGTCTCTAGTATGGATCAAACTCCAAAGCACTTGATCCTACATTTCCCACAATGCACCTGGATAGAGTCTTTCATCAGCCCCTAGCTGCCTGGTAAACAACCACATCACCCAAATCCCACACCTCAGATTTGTAACCCAAACTTTTTAGTGTCGTCATGTTACTGAAATTTCTGACTTTGAAACAACATCTTAAAAAATATCAATATTCAACACTATTTTCGATACCATGGGGAAAAATTTACACTGAGGGCATCCAATTTAATTTCTTTATTACCATTATTATATGTTTTTTATGTTTCTGTTTCTCTCTGATCAGTAAACTGAACTTCATGTGTAAACCTGGTGGCGTGCCCCAACACTAAAAACCCACACTGTGTTATGACCATGCTTTAAAGCATTGCTAACGCCTAAACAGAGAATAATGACTGTAGTTGAAAGGCATTATAGCTGTCAGTTTAAACTGATCAGTGTCTTAGTTGTATTTTGTGGAGACATATGATATGATACAGTATCTTGTGATTTAATATGAGGTAATATTATAACTACACTTATAGCAAAGATCCACAATCCTCTTCTTGCAATATCTTGTTTAAAAAAAGTCATTAGAACTATAAAACACTTACGTGCTTATAATTAACTTCATGCTGAACAGCGCTACAGGTAACACCTGTGCAACAACATCTGTAGCATTACTGTGTCATTTACTGTGTGTGTTAGGGAACCCCTATAAACTTGTATTTGGTAATCTTGTCACCTCTTGGATAAACTAGCAAAAGCATAACCAAAAAAGTTGTTTATTGTTATTATTAACCCCAAGATTAAACCTACGGGAGACTTCATGCCCAACTGTGACTTCAAACAGAGGTGATTTTCTGTTTTTTGTGATCATTGATTTATGAAGATATACTTAGATTGTTGCTCTTTGTACTGCTGGCACAGCTGCAACCGTGACTCACGTTAGACTTCCCTGCAGATTTTTAAATTACTTTTACCCGACTGCTGATAAATTCTCAAATTGACCATCATAACATTATACTGACAATATGTACACTTAAATGGTGCTACAATATATTTACATTTAGATGCACTAAATTATGTCCAACAACACAAATCCACTCAGATGGGGGTCTGTAGTCTGATATCAATGTAGTATCTGTCATCAAACAGGCTTGAAATGCAGACTATCATCATTACATGTACAAAGGTGCGACACCAGACATACAGATTATGGAAAACATGAATAGTGTATTCTGTGTGCCTTCATACTAGTTTGTATAATTGTCCATGTTTTAGAAATAAAACTAGCCCATACGTTGCCACACAGTCCAGCTTCTCATTTTCATCAAACCAAAATAATTCAGGATTTTTGTTCTGCATTCTTACAAAGGTGCACGGAAGTTATCATTTAAAGTATGAGTGTGTACTCAGAGCACGGACTAAGATGGTCAAGAAAACCAGCCGAAGCTTGTATGCACAGTTGTGTTCTCCAAAACCCAACCCAGTTGTTAAAGGCACTGTATGTAAGAATGTGGCCAAAACGGTTACTGCACTCAAATTCAAAATACTGCCGTGAGTTGTGCAAGTCCGGCTTCTCTGCTGCTAACGCTGCTGCCGGGATACAGCTGAGGAGGAGCCGGCTGCTAATGCTATGTACCGGGACACTGCTAATGCTGCTTGCCATGCTGCTGTCGTAACTGTAACTCATGCTGAGACTCTACTGACTTCAAAACATAAACATGATTTGCGGACTGTAAAATTCTTTTTTAAATGCGAATATTCTGGCTGTACTATTGTTGTTGGTGAGATCAGTATGTTATATTAAGATTATTCCTTAGTCTCTGTGACATATTAGGATTTACAACTATTTGCTTTAGATTTCTTACATATAGCTCCTTTAAAATTGTACATTTCTGCCAACTGTGGATATGTTAGATTTGCAAGTTATTATGTAGTTGATACCTTGAAACTTTTCTTTTCAACAACCCTGTGGTTAATGTGTGGTTAAGTTAAGGCTCAGACAACACTTGGTTATGGTTAGGAAAAGATCATGCTTTGGGTGGGGGCATATTCCTGGCAGGAAAAGCAGCAATGTCTCTGCAAAAAAACAAGAAAAAAATTGTTGTTTGGTGCCTAATACGCTGCTAGAAACACAGCAATGACTGACTAAATCACAGCTGGTTTTGTTGTTGGTCTCCAACAGTGGTCTGCAGTGGCCTAGATGTCTCACCATCCACCATCACCTCCATCTCCAGATAACAGAGTCAGCTCATATACTACATCACTTTAGAAACGCTGATACAACACATATGAAACGTGCAAATGTAACCAAGTTTTTGGGAACCCCTGTGGTGCATGTCAAACAAATAAAGTTGGCACTCTAGACTGAGGAATAATAATGACACTTTTACACCCAAGAATAGTGAGTTTGTGTTAAAATATTTCAATTAAATATTCAGGATTGTAGGACTGTTTGTAGGACCGTTTAAAGGTACTGTACGAAGGCCTACTTGAGTTACAATAATTGCTGTTATACAAGTATGAAGAGGACATTAAGTGCAAAATCTTTTCATTTTAACCTGTCTTGCCTTGAGATGTTTCTCTTTAATTTTAGTTTCAATAATGTCAAATTGCATAATGTGCTCTTATAACCATGACTCAGAGCTGAAGGAGCTTTTCAGAGTTTTCAAAGACTCATTTCATCTCTTTCACACTAAATCCTTGACAGTGTTTCAACCAGACAGTGGAGAGAGGCTGGGCAGACATTCAGTGGCGTATCTGCAGATCACCAGACTCAGTGCTGTGAGGCCAAGTGTGTGCTGCAGGATGGTGGATGGTGAGATGGTGGGGATGTCAGGGTGGTGGTGGAGGAGCAGAGTGCAGTAGGGCACGGAGCATTCAGAGAGCAGAGCTGGCCGTAATTAGAACAGGCCCCTTTGCAGACATCGTGTCCTAGTTTCTTCACACTTATCAAGCATAGAGAACACAAACACACACACACACAAGAGCACACAGACATAAAGCAAATAGACACACACACATGCACGCACGACCCAGTGTTCTCATCAAACAGCACATAGAGAGTCTAATCTGACTCATAGCTGCAGGTAGAAAATTTCAACTCCCTACAGCTCAGAGGTGTCAAAACAATCACTGGAAAGTCATGTCTCTGGTCTCTGTCCTGGAATAGCACTACTTCTCTGGATGATGTAACACCCCAAAAGAAATGTACAACAACAACAGGCCTGAGGCGCGACGATATGTACAAGTCCTCCCTGATGCAATTAAGGACTTAAGTGAGACTTAAAGGCAAAATGGAACAAAGGGTTTAAAGAAAACATCATGTTTTTGCGTGTGAGGCTTTTAAATGAACAAACAATCACTGACACAATCCTCTGTCCGCAGGCGTCACCTTGTGTAAAGCCCGGATCCTAGTCCTCCTATATCAAGACAGTCCGCTTATAGATTGACTGAGCTGTTTGTTTGTCGAGGTTAGGAGCTTCTTTAGCAGATAAGATCCCTGTGTTTGTGCAGCTGATTGATTCTAAACTTTACAGCCTTCAGTCATGACACTGTTGGAAATATCCCCTGGTACACAAAGCTTTTAAACAACTATTGAAAAGATGCTGTTTTGCTCCTGCTGCTGCTAAAACAATACAAATTACTTTCTCTGCTACCTCTGCCTTTGACAAACAAGGAAACGTGTGAAATGAGATTTCAACAACATGCCAATTTGTCTAATAGAATCCCGGGCATACATGTATTGGCGCGTTGATTCCTGATGCACATTACTGCTAATGTTATTAGAGCAAAGGTAAACAAAGCAGACTGCAGAAGCATGAGCAGATTATTCATAAATTCAATATTCAGACTCATGTATGCATTGGTATGCTTATTTAAGCAATAATGAGTGAGAGACAGCAGGTAATTGTGCATGCTCCCCCGGGTGCTGTTAGGCCCGACACTTTGTGCGGGCAATACAAAGCAATGATATTGCACTGGTATTACACTCAAGGTCATAATTGCTTGTACAAACAATGAAGGAGCTGAATTCATTTTAAACTCAAAAGTAAATTAGCTTATGATTAAGTAGCGTCTTTGTTATCACTGATGCTCTGTTGGTAGAGATGCTATCAGTTTCCAAGAACGTCTACAAGGTCATTATTAAGTATGTGCAGAGACAGTGTGAGGTGTTACTGACTGAAACTGTGCCCCAATTCTCTACTACACGCTAATTCAAATTAGGTTTTGAGGATGTGGTGTTTTCACACTGGAAAAGTGTCAAAGTAAGTACAAGAAGTAAGAACTGTTACCTCTCTCTGTGACAGCTTACCGGCTCCGAACTGTTGTTGGGAACATGCTGGCTTATTAACATTAAATTAGCTTGGCTCATTATTAGCTGGTAACTAGCTTCTAGCAGTCCGGACCACTATGCAGAAGGAAGGATGGCGAGGCGTTCAGGTGCTGT